CTCATGATACAGAATATTTTAGTAAATATATTTTGGAATAACTGTTTAAAATGAATTTAAATGAATATTAATTTTAGATTTAAAAACAAAACAATTCTGTCATAATTTACTCACCCTGTTGTTCCAAACCCACAGGGTTTTCTTTCTTCTGTAGAACATAAAATGAGAAATGTTGATGAACATCGTAAGTCGCATGTGATTGTTTCAGTCTAGAAAGGTTAAAGGAATAGTTCACCCAAAAAATTACAATTCTGTCGTTTTTTACTGACCCTCAAGTTGTTCTAAACCGGTATATTTGTTGTTCAACTGAACTCAAAATAAGATATTTGGAAGAAAGTAGATAACCAAACAGTTTCTGGTTCCCATTGACTTCCACAATATTTTTTTTTCTTATACTATGGAAGTCAATGGGGACCAGAAACTGTTTACAAATACTTCAAATGATCCTCCTTTTTGTTCAGCAGAAGAAAATAACATTCAGTTTTAGCACAACTTGAGGGTGCAAATCAGAAAACCATACAATAGCAGCCAAACCTGTGCGTCCTGAACCTTGCTTTTCTGAAAGGTTTTAGATGGAAGAAAACCATCCTATGAATAAAAAATGGCACAAATTAAGAATATGTCATGAATATGTACATCATCAGTGTTATGTTTTCTTCCCTGTGTCCATTTTCATATCAGGGAAATGTTATTTAACTGGAATTTCTCTAATTAACTCACTAATCACCAAGGCCATGATTAAAAAATAAGGTAATTGCTCTCAAGTGCTTTAGTTGAAAGCGTTAGTATTGATTATGTATAAACCAATCTTATGCACCTCTATGAGTTTCTGGAGTGGAATCCCATTGCTAAGGATGCTGGTTTTCCACTTTTTGTTCCTGTCCATCATCCCAAACCTTTCGAACTCAGTGGGCTTGAACCACTGGTCTTCACTGAGGATGCACTCCTGTTCTAAGGACAGAAAGAGTTTATTCAACCACTATTGGCATGACTTGTTTCAGAGCTTTTGGATGTTAGATGCTCCAACAATCTTGAGACATTCAACAACAATTCTACAGCAAGCTCCTCATAAACATTACGGAATTATTTAACAGAAACATTTATGCACCTACTGTTATTATATTTCTTCACATGCAAGACGCCCTCTTTACAACCACATGTAACAGGAAGTTGATCATTTTTTTGTCCTGTAGATGATTCTGAAACAAGTACAATCAAATCAGGTGAAAACCCTTTTCAAAACGTAGTAGCAGAGTGTTAAATGTGCACCTCTTCCTGTTAATTAGTCTGTCTTGTAAAAATGCTTTAGACTCACTGGAGCAGTTTTGTCCCTCTGCCTGTTTCTTCTCTGATGTGCAGAGGGAGGACGATCCCCTCAGCTGTCTCTTCTTAGAGTTTTGTTTCTCCATCTTCCTCTTTGTATCCGTAGATGTCCTTTATTTCTAACGATGTTCTCACTCAGCAAGTCATTTACTGGAATGCTCTTCAAGAGTGATTTCATGAAGGAGGCGATTGCATCGTCTGCATTATTTGAACAGCAGGAAGTAGACGGGTTCCACCACGTTGAGTTGCAGTGCCTCCCTCTCACATTGCGAAACTGAAAGCTGCTTTTTGGTCTACCTTCAAGAAAGTTACACTTCGGTTTATTCAACCATTGCTGGAATGACTTCTGGATGGAGAGTGAAAAATACAACTATTGTTAGGGGTAAACAGTCAAAGACCCAGGACCAGATATAATGAATGAAGACCCAGAGTCAGAATTATAATATATTAAAGAAAAGTTTTACTGAAGATAGTTTGCATTTTCAAAAGTCAGCTTCAAGACTCACATGGAGTTTGTAGGCTGCTCCAGTTCCAGTTACAAAGATCACAGCAGTTAAACCCCTCACCAAGGTCTAAGCTACGTCCTTGCTTACAGATTGAATGATTCTCATTGGCTAAGAAATAGACAAACGCAGTAATTTTCCACACAGATAGACGGAAGCATATCTCCATTGGTTATGCAGCTGACACTCGGACCCTGAAGTTAGGCACGTCGTGACCTTCCAGACTGCAGATTTGGGTTGCTGGGTGCCAGCCTGTTCAGAACAACAACTCAGTCAATCTCCAATAATGCCAGTGGTTCCTTAACCTGCAACGAAAATAACTAACACACACACACACACACACAGACACACAGCTTTTCCAAGGTTGGATTTGGCCAGGCTCTAACTATAAACAGGAGAGTCATCTTAAAACATCAAGATACTGCGTTCTTTCTCTTAAGGAGCGCAGTCTGAGGACTTTAGTCTGACTGGAAAGTAAGGCTTAAACAAAGAAATGGTCCCTTAAACTATTGGCTTCAATGACGTATATGTTTTAACACGTTGAAGACCTTTCTCAAAACTCAAAACAAGTTAATATTTTATTTCTGGAAGCTAAATAAGCCAGCACTGTTACTGCATTCAGATATCAAATACAGAGAATAGAGAATACATTATTAAAACAAAATTTCAGTAATCACAATGGTAACTTTTATAACAAAGCAAAATCTCAAAAGCATAGAGAATTCATTCAACTCATTTGATATTTAGAAGATAATGGAATGGATTTTCAGAGCAGTGTTGTAATATTTAAAATAAAAAATTCATTAACATGCTGAAATTATTAACTATTTTACTGTCCTCTTTCACACAGAGACAACTTAAACATCTATATCACTTAATCTTTAATGTGTCAGTTAGTGATGGCTAATAATAGAGTGAAGTTTAACCATGAATTATAGTACAAAATATAAATAAACAAGTTTATGTGACATGCATTGTAAAAAAAATTTGTTGGTTTAACTTAAAGTAAAGTAAGTTCATTGAACTGGAAAAAGTGAGTTAATGCAATGATTTAATCATCAGAAACTCAAAATTATGTTATCTGAAGTAAATAAATTATTTAAGTTGATTTGACAAAAGAAAAAATGTTGTGATCACTGTAAAAAAATATTGTTGGTTTAACTTAAAAAAGTAAGCAACCTGGGTTGCCTTAAAATTTTAAGTTGATTGAACTGGGAAAAAGTGAGTTAATGCAATGAAGGAGATTGATTTAATCATCAGAAACTCAAAATAATAAGTTAACTCAACTAAACAAATTATTATAAAGTTGATTTGACAAAAGAAAATATGTTGTGAAAACAAATCTTGAAAATATTTTTTACAGTGTGGTAAACAAGCTATTTTTGACGATCCGTTGTCAAGGATGGGATATATATATATATATATAATATATATATATATATATATATATATATATATACACACAACAGATGAGAAAGGATACATAATTTTTTGGCTTGTCCACATAATGCAAATATCTTTCAGAACTCTCTCTCTCTCTCTCTCTCTCTCTCTCTCTCTCTCTCTCTCTCTCTCTCTATATATTATATATATATATATATATATGAATGTTACATGAAAATAAAGCTTACCAATACTTAGCTCAAAGATGTCACTTCTTGATCAAGGAATTCGGCGGTTCACTGTTACGGATCTATGAGGGAAGACTCAAGCGCAGAATGGGTTTTAATGAAAGACTGTTGACAAGATGAGAAATGGTGGGTGAGGAGGTGATTACAGTCCAAACAGTATGCAGGAAACAAAGCACAATGACAGGCCAGCTGACAGGGTGGCAGATGAGACCAGCCCAAGGTGAACACACTGCTGTTCTGATGTAGATGAGCAGCACCTAGTGTAGTCTGTTACCTCCTGTTGCGGATCAATCACGTTGTGTCCTGTGGTGTGAATAGCTCAACAACCTGAACACTCCTGGTTTCACAGAGTGCAAATCATGTATTGTGCACCGCACAGTTCAGCCCGACGTTTTAAAATCATGTAGTGTGAACTAGGCTTTAGAAGACAAGTTTGGTACGAAGTTTCAAACACAATTGATCATCACTCTCAATACAGCCTTTCTGTCTGTGGCCATTTTAAGTAGGCTATTGCTTGTACTTTACTCCTGTCTAGTTCCACACCCCCTTCCAAAAGCTTGTCTCCTAAGGATGTGATTTCCGTCACTCCAAACTGACATTTGTCTTTATTCAACTTCAGCCCATACTTCCTTACTCGCTGTAGGACTTCCATGAGCCTCTTGTTGTGCTGTTCTATTGTGTGTATCCCCACAACACAAAATCATACACACGCACACCCTCGATGCTTTCAATTATGTTTCATATCCCTGCGGAATACTTCATGAGCTGAGGAAATTCCGATCGGCATTTTCAAGAAGCATTTTCGGCCGAAAGCAAGGGTGTATTGAATGTGCAATACTTTGTGCGGTTCTCATGTAGTTTCAGCTGCCAAAACCCATTAGAGGCATCCAGGTCTGTAAATAACTTTGCACATGCCATCAATTTCCTCATGTGTCGGAATTTGATAGTTCCGGAATTACATTTGATAATTCCGGAACAACTATATCAAATTCCGACACGTGAGGAAATTGTAATTCAAACACACTCTCTAAATATTTGGGTTTAAGTCCTTTGCATCCATACACACACGTAGATCAACATTGGCTTTCTTCACACACTATTGAGTTAATCCACTATAGACTTTCCCACTTTTTCTTTGACTCCCATTAATGTTATTCTTCCCAGCTCTTGACTCAGCTTATCAGGAAGTGGTGCTGGAACCCGTCTTGGTGCATGGACAACTGGCTGTGCATATTTTCTCATCTGTATTTTGTAGGTGAATGGTAATACTTCAAACCCTTCAAAGAAGTCAGGTGGCTATAGATAATTATTGGATACTTTAGGCCCTCCATATTGCCCACTTTCTATTTATCAGTTCAATGATAAACAGCCAAAAACAAATGTCCATTTTCTATTTGGGCCACCTAAAGAACAAATGCTGCGTGTAGTCTGAAAATATTTGATCCTATATTTATAATTAGCCTTCAATGTCACACTGCTGCCCTCTTCTTGTGAAGTTAAAAATGTAACTTAGGGAAGCTTTATTTCACACTGAAACAATCCATTCATTGACAGACTTTATTAAAAGTGGAACAAAAGTTGATTTATGAGCTCAGTACAGAGTCATTTAAAATGCTGAATAAATGATACATAGGACATATCATTTACGAAGGGTAAATTTTCCCTCAACTTTAGGTATCTTCAAAATTTCCATCTGAAAAGAAAAATAAACAAGGTTGGAAAAGCTTTTTTTTTTAAGAATATAATTTAAGTTACAAAATTTAAAAGACTAAATAAGTACTGAAAGTGAAACACATTAGATACTGTGCAATTGGATGTCTTTAAGGTTCTCACCTCAATGAGACTCTTGAGGGTTTTGCCTTGGCATAATATACTTGTTTTCCAGCTCTTGTGTGCTTCTTTGTCACCCATTTTCTCAAATGTATAAGGGGAGATCATTTTTCCATTATGGTTAATGCAATCCCTTTTTCCTGAGAACATAGGAGAATTTTAATACAGTATGTGTATGTGTGGTGCTTAAACGTAAATGGCACTGCAATGACTTCAAAGCGTTCTAGGTCTTATGGCAGCTGTGTCCACAGTGATACCTTTGAGCCTTCTGCTCATGAGACAGTTAGCTGTGGCTCAGAGCCAGCAGATTTCATCCCAGGGCTAATCCCCAGAGACAAATAAGGTGAGTGCTTTTCCCTTTTCTAAAATGCTTATGGCAATGTTTACGCGCTGTGGGCTTCAAACACTTTCTATGTAGCTCAGACCCTGGTTCCTCACCTTGGCTCCCACTGTAGGTGGGTGTTGTCGTCGCAGGATGCTAACAAGAGACGATTTCCGGAAGGGCTGGCATCTCAAATGGCAAATCAATTGCCTCAAATTGATAGCAGTATTTCTGGCCCTGAAATATTCCTTCGGCAGTCAAGAGGCTACCATGGTGCGGGTGGACAACACTGCAGTAGTCGCTTATATAAATCGCCAGGGCGGACTGCCCTGAACAAACTAGCGCAGCAGGTTCTGCTTTGGGCTTAGAACAAGTTCCTGTCCCTCAGGTTAATTTACATTCACGGAAGCATGAACGTGGAAGCAGATCTATTGTCCAGACAGGAGATCAAAGGAATTGGAATTTCCATCCCGATGTAGTCAGTCAGATCTGGGGAAGATTTTACGAAGCAGAGGCGGACCTCTTTGTTTCATAAGAAACAGTGCAATATCCCCTGTAACTCTCACTGACTCCTCCAGCCCCCCTGGGTCTGGAAACCATTGCCCATGCATAGCCAATGCATGAGCCAGGAAGTGTCTATATGAGTTTCCATCTATCTCTCTGCTCCCCGGAGTCCTAAGGTCCGTCAAAAAGGGCCATGCCTATTGATAGCGCCTCATTGGCCAACCAGTGTCTGGTTCTCAGAAAATCTCTCCTCGACGGCTTGCCTTTGGCGATACCGAACAGGAGTGATCTCTTGTCTCAGGTGCAAGGGACGATCCCCGGTCCGAGTCATGGAATCTTCATGTTTGGTCCATGAGGGGGACCAGCTAAGAAATGCTGGACTTTCAACCTTCTGAGTGCTAGGGCTCCCTCCACTAGAAGAATGTATGCCCTAAAGTGGCACATCTTTGAAAAGGTTGTGTACAATACATCATTCAGACCCAGTCCGCTGCCAGATTGTTTCAGCACTCAAGCTTCTGCAGGAAAAGCTGTCAGCAGGCAGATGTTCTGCTACTCTCAGAGAATCTGTAGCCGCCATTTTGGCTGGTCACGCTCTGATTGGCGGCTTTCAGTGGGGAAACACCCTCACACCCGCTTTATTCGTGGAGCCTTGCGACTGAGACCATTCGTCAGAGTGAAAGTTCCCTCATATGACAGTAACTTGACTGTATCCCTGTTCTCTGAAAAAGCAGAAAGGACTTCGAGGAATGGCTGATTGACGTGGATACGGAGGTTTTTAAGACAGCACTAAGAACTGTATGGACTGTGATCTATCTGTTTGTTCATCATCATCCCTGTTTCAAGACAGAGCTTAGACTATTTTGTTGACTTGTTGAGGAAGAGAAGTCCCCTTCATACGCTTTTAGTTTGCATTCTGTGTTTCTTTGTCCAAACACCTTCTCCTTTTTTGTTATGGACAATTATTTAATCGTCACAGTTGTTGTTTATTTGTTCCCACATCTAGCCAGTTTTTAAGTTGCTTAGTTTTCCTTCAGTTGTCGGTTATTTGTGTTAATGCTTGTGTTTGCATTTGACACACTGTTACACCAGTCTGTCTTTTGTTTCTTAATCCAATGTGAAACCTTTTAATCCTGCCTTCTGTCAGTCTGTCATCATCTTGAGTACACATTACATATATAAAATATTTTTCTCATATTTTGAGAGTTCAAACTTGTAGGGTCATTCAAAATATTCTATTTGTTTTAAAATATTAATATACAAATATTAATTCATTCTACGGCACAAATACACATATTTTGTTTCTAATATAGATCAATTTTTTAAGAACTACATTTTCAGGTTCTACATTTTCAGAAAATTAAAGTTACTATTCATAAAGCACAATTTTGATTTTGAAACACTCATGTGGAGATCAGTACAAAAGAGGATAAATTATATAATAAAACAATAAAACTCTGTATTTTTATAATGTTCATAGAGTGATGTGATTGAGAATGCTATGTTGCTGCTGCTTTGAAACATTTAAACAGTGAGGGTAACTTACTGTGCGACAGTGCAACTCTGTCAATTAAAGCCTTTTTGTTACCACATGTGACAGGGAGCCATCTCTTGTGTTTAGGCTTATCCCAGAGATTCACTTCTTCCTCTTGGGTGGTGAGCGTAAAAAGCAAAATTAAAGGGATTAAAATAAAACAAACAAAAAATAAGACATTAAAGTGTTCAGCAACTTTTTCACACACAAAAAGTGTTCTACATACTTAAGGATGGATGGGAAAATGACTCTGATTCCCTGGTAGAGTCCGGAGAACTCTGAAGATCTGGATAATTTTTAGATAATACAAAACAGTAAGTTTGCAGATCTCAAACTAATAAAAAAATTTTTTTTTAAATTTAAAAAATACAGATTGCTAATTGTTAACAGTAATGCCAAAGGACCGTCATATCTACTAATTATTTCTCCCATGCACATTGTTGTAAAATCATTTGCAGCAGCTGCTCTGCCACACACGCACACACACACACACACACACACACACACATATATATATATATATATATATAATATGTGTGTGGCAGTCTTCGGGAGTGGCAGCGTTGCCCGAGTCGGACACAGAGATGATGTGCATGAACGGAGATGATTGCACGCCAATGTGCATTGACTTGTTTAGTTTCATTCAAAGTAGATTGGCCTCTCTAGCGAGATTCCTATTTGTTGGTTACGTCATGTACATCTCCGTTCCCTCCATCAGGGAACGAAGGTTGCCATATGTAACCGAGACGTTCCTCAAAGAACCTTTTACTGAACAGTGACTGAACACGTGAAGATTTTTTTTTAAGAACTCATTCTAAAGAACCTTTTTTCTGGTTAAAGAACATTTTGTGCAATGAAAATGTTCCATAGATGTTGAAGGTTATCTGATTTTGCCAGAGAACTCACCTCTCTCCATGTGTTTGGCTTTCTTCTTCAGTCTGTCGGTGATTTGTGACGACGGGCCAGCTTGGTTACTCACAGAGCTCTTCTCTATCCCCTCTCTTTCTTTTCCTGTGCCTTGATCCTCATATTTCTCCCTTATTTTGCTGTCTGGTTCTCTACTAAGAGCTGAGATAAAAACTAGAATTAGGAAATACATCAGCAATGCTGTAGACCTCAATGTGATACATGTAAGTCACAGACAGACTGACAGATAGCTAAACAGATGATTTCTCACACTTCTTCAGAGTTGCAATGATTTCAGAGAGTTGGGGGTAACGCTGCAAAATGTGCTCCTGGTCCACACATTTCCAGAAATGTCTAACTTTCTTTGTTCCATGTTTTTGAATATACTCCAATGCATCATACACACCATAATCATAATCACGTTTCTGAAGCTTTTGCTTCAAAAAAGAAGAGAGACAAAAAAGGTAAATCTTTGTTTTTTATATTGATATATTATTGGTCTGAAGGTTAATATTAACACTAAAATCATTTTTAAGGTGAAATAAATGGCAGTTGCCAGAAGTATTTTGTAAAAATGTAAACATTTACAAAACAACCCATAAATCTACAATTTTAAAAACGAATTAGAAACTAACTGTTAACCAATTAACAGGTTTTTACTATAGAATTCTTATTCTTTTACACTTAAAATTACAATCATCTTACATAAAGCTCATCTGTAATGAGTCCATTGTCTTTGAGATGGCGAAGAAATGTCAACGGCTTTTCTATAGTAGATATTTTTGTCTTGTTTTGACGGAAAACTTCCAATAACTTTTCATCTTCGAAAAATCCATAGTCCATAGTGATGATTCTTTTAAATATAGTTGATTCTGCAAAAGAGAATAGATTGTCAATTATTGACTTTGTGAAGTGTACCAATAAATACATTCTGCTCAAACAATCATTTATCATGTTTGTTTGTCGTCATCCTATGACTCTCTATTTATGGGCTTCTACCTTGACTTTGTGCCTTCATGTCCCCCCGATTGCTCATGAACAGTAAAAGATTGCCTGCGAGCTTCTCCTCGTATGGTAATGTCTCAATTGTGAGACAGAAAATCCCAAGGTTATGATGCAATCTTTAGCCTATTTTTCCAAAAACGGCTTCTACGGGACCGTAACGTAAGATACAAAGTAATGGGGCATTTTATACATTGTTTCTTTAGAAGTAAATAATGGACAAATGAAGTCTTTGGACCCCTCAGATGTAAAGTTATTCACTGTCAAAGTGACGCCAAAATGAATAGGAGTCAATGGGATGCCAAGAGCAGGTGAAGTTCTGCTACAATGGCGGATCCCGCGAGGCTTCAACTTCAGGCTGATGGATTACCCCCTTGTATTGTACGCCTAACAAACATCCACCCAAACCTTCAATGACTCATTGGAATGCAGTTACAACCTGCTCACATGCATACCATGCCCTATACTTTTTTTAAATTATTAGTTTTACAGACAACATATTGTGCATTCAAAACTCCTGTCAAAAAATTTCAGGAAACACATGCTATGCTCAGCATGATTCAAAATTTAACACTAACAATAAAATCATTTAAAATCAGTTCAGGACAATTACAAGAAACTGTAAGCTATTTTTTGAACATATTTTTACAAGTGGACAGAGACAGTCTAGTTACATAAAATGTTTATATATATATTTGTTTTTGTAACCATTACACAATTTTACAGAAAGATGACCTGTAGGCTTTTTGTCTTTCCCCCATAGCTACTACTTTGTTGCAGTAACAGTACCAAGCCACTCACTCTGACAGAAACGAAACTGAAAGTGGCGTGCCTACACTCTAAAAAATGCTGGGTTGTTTTAACCCAATTTTGGGTCAAATATGGACAAACCCAAAATGTTGGGTTAAAAATGTAATGTAAAAATTTAACCCAACGGCTGGGTTAGTCCATATTTGACCCAAAGTTGGGTTAAAACAACCCAGCATTTTTTAGAGTGTACCTGGGGGTGCGTTTCCCGTACAACGACGTAAGCTTTTTTTTTTTTTTTTTATTAATTAAACATTTTACGTAACTAGCTAGTCACCCAAAACCGCGTTGGTTTATGACGTCACGCAGGTGGTAATACCTTATTTTAACGAAACCGTTTGAGATCGAATTAATGCTAGATTTTTTGGTATAAATTACAGACATGGCATCTGAGGAATATTTCAATTTTGTCTCAGCTATTTCCAGATTCAATCTCGTTCACATCGTTACATGCCCGTAAATTACATTTGGATGTAGGCTATTCTAATAAAAAATAAAAAAAATAAACACCGGTTGTACCGAATTTCTGCTTATTTTGCACAAGATACGTATTTGTTAAGTCAACATTTCATGAAATCTGGAAACCATGCGTCTTGGTCTAACCAGCTTGAGAGCCGTCGTTCCAAACATGCGAATGTTCGTTGGAACGATGGTTTCGGGAAACATCGACTGTTGAATGATGACGACGGAACTTGCAACCATAGCGATGCTTTCGGGAAACACACGCCTTGACTGTTATGTGGAATTTGAGTGATAATAAAAGTGAAAGAAAACAACACATAAAACACAACAACATCGAATTGAATTGGAATTAATAATAATTAATATAGGCTACTCACCTTGCTGCCTGTTTGTCGAGGTCTCTCGATCTCTCTTTATGCAGTCAAATAGCCTAGTGTCTGCTTTCCTTTTCCTTAATTGCTCCACCTCCACACCTTTCTGTAGATCTGCCATGCCCTGATCACATAACATTTCTTTATATAATAACAAACGATACTCATATATATTATAATATAGCCTACAGTTTTATTTGACATATTTTAACATAACACATCAGTTATTATCAGGTGTCCCTAAACTGGCAGTGAATAGATAAATCCTGGTTTTAAGTGCGCACACACACACACACACACACACACACTATAATATGAAGAGTTCAGATGCAAAAGCCTCTAAATGCCATTTGAAATTTTCTTCTTTAATGATGATTTTTTTTTATCAAACTTGTATATTTAAGTTCAGTAATTTCACTTAAATAACAATTAATAGGTAATTATCATTGCCATTTAAGTGAAATTACTGAACTTAAATATACAAGTTTGATAAAAATCATCATTAACGAAGAAAATTTCAAATGGCATTTAGAGGCTTTTGCATCTGAACTCTTCATATATATATAGCCTATATATACTGTATATATATACATATATTTACACACACACACACACACACACACACACACATTAATACATATACATATGTATATATATACATATATATACACATACATACATATATACATACATATCCTCTCTCATTACAGTACGTAAGCTTCATTTTCTCCAGCTCACATGGTTTGGTAAATTATCATTTAATATAGCATGATTTGTATATTCAGAATTGGTTGTAAAAATCTTTTTGCCAAAACATAATTCATTTAATATAGCCTATTAATTTGAACTCAAATGATAGAGAGACAAAATGGATTACGCCACAGTATAAGAACAGAAAACATATAATCCACTAATCTGAATGAATAAAGTTCAGCAAACACAAGCAGAAATTCTATTAAATTATGAAGAACGGACCATGAACACAGAGGTATTTCATTATAAACTTCCACTTTAATTACAGATTTATAACATTACTATGCTATTTAGTACATTTAAAACTTGCCGGAAGCAATATTTGGTTCTTGGCCTGATTGTTTGGCATTCAACAATGGAAAGAGAAGTATTCAATAAGAGGATACAATAGATGTGCTCACCCAAATATTTCATTGTGAGAGATATTTTGTTTGATTAGCATACATAATAAGTTATTTTGTTACCTGTCATCTTATAGTATGCCAATATCTGTATTTATTCTGACCCACACAAAGACTATTATTATTACTGTACTACATGACATTTACACAAAAAAAATGTGAAGAATTTCTAAAATGTAAAAACGTTTGTTTTTTTTTTAAATCTGTCCACATTTTTAACAATGGTATCCATTTATTTACAAACAAAAGAAATTCGATGGCCATTGTTGCTGTCATTCAAATCGTCAACTATCAGTTATTAAAATGAATGTCCTCTTATTGCTTTAAATTGCAGTGTGAGTGTGAACGTAACTTTAGACTGCAGAAGACCTGGAAGAGAAAGACCCGATAGAAACTTCTGTTTTGACAAATCAACCCACTGCATATGATGTTATAGGAGCTTAAAGACTGTTTTAAACTCCTTCTCGAATACTTCCTTCAGTCTAGAGGTCATTCTGCTGGAGTCATTATACTGAGAGAGAGAGAGAGAGAGAGAGAGAGAGAGAGAGAGAGAGAGAGAGAGAGAGAGAGAGAGAGAGAGAAAGTGAGTATATATATATATATATATATATATATATATATATATATATATATAAGGCAACATAGAAAAAAAAATAACTCTTTCAACATTTGAAAAAAAAAAAAAAAAAACTCACTGCACTGGAGATGCAAAAGTTGTTGAAAATTTGTCTAATATCTGAGACAAACTCTTGCACTGTTTGATAATCGTTATTTTCCAGCTCCAGCTTCACTCTGCCCAGCATCATGGGTCCACAAAAATTCTTACTGTATCCTGGAACCTGAACACCAGTCCCGACGTCACATGTTTTTTACATCACATATAAGACCTTTAAATAATGACAGACAAATCATTTCATGACAAATAAAGACAGATAAAGAAGAGATTTACATTACTGCAGGGGTCAGTCATGCAGTCATGCAGCAGTTTTAACAGCAAACACTGGCAGTGCTGGAAAAAAAAAAAAAAAAAAACGGTGTTAAAACAGTGTACTCTATGTGCATCATCTGTCACAGTGTCATGATCGGATCATCACACTTGACAACATTGAAAGCCAGGATGTAAATGCACTCAAGACCCACTCAAATTAGATCACTATAACACATGCTGATCTCATTTAATGAAGGTGAAAATGCAAATTAGCTTTTATAATCTCCACTCAGCAATGTAAGTAGTAACATGTAATGAGGTTATTGCTTTACTTTTTCTGCTTCCAAAACTGCACTACGATGGTTGACTCACCTGATCAAAAATATTACTTATTTCACTCGGATTACGCTTAGAATCTTGTTTTTCTAATTTCTCTCACCAAACACAGCACTGTTTTCAGACAGGTTTCATTTAATGTAACCGTATGTAATATGTAAGTGGCAATTTGCATTTAGCCAGGGATCGGCAATTTGCATTTTGTGATCAGATCACTAAAAAAACAACAACAAAAAAACAGTCAAACTGGATGAAGGTGTAAATGCCATCTGGCTAAAAATATCCTACTCAACCCACCCAAAAATGATAAATGTCCCTTTTTCAGGATGCTGTATTTTAACGATACATTTATAAAATACCCCCCAAAAAACGTTACAGATCTACTGGAAAGGCTTTAAACAATGTTTTTCATGTTCGTTCGATGAACCATAAACAGTTATTGCACCTGTGGAACAGTTCATAAGACACCAATGCTTGGTTTCACAGACAAGGCTCAAGTGTAGTCCCAGACAAAAAATGCATGTAGAGCTGTTTTAACTGAAAGCAAAATACATATCTTAAAATACATTAATGCCATTGTCAATTCATCATAACAGTAAATCTGGTTAGGACAAAAACAAGTGTTTATATTTTAGTCTGAATAGTTTTCGCGGTAAATTGCGTACATAAGTCATTCGTCATATCCGTAAATGGAGAAGTGTGACAGAGGGTTTAATAAAATGAGAATCAACATTGGCTTGGCTTTTCGGAGATAGTGAGAACTGAGGGATTGGAAATATTGTAAAAGTGACGCAGAGATGGTGTTTTTATTACTCAACAGCCGAGTACGATATTTTATTGAAAAGATAAGCTGCCATATGTAGCTATCCAACAGAGTTCATTGTAGAGCATTATCTAGAGTGAAGAGTCATTTCATGATGGTTTTTGTGCTGGAATTTATTTTCAAGGAAGTACCGTGTCTGTTAATAAGTAAAGCTACAGTAACATCTTCAGCTAATAGCTTGAGATCCTTTCCATATAAACTGATTATATCTTTCATTAGTAGTGAATATTTTATGAGCACTAGGATAATCTCTCTCTTTCTTATATATATATATATATATATATATGTGAGAAAGAACCATAGTCATCTGCACATTCACGCAAAGCACAACCAAATACATGTTATTCCACAAAATGCATGCAGTTTTGTTTCTATATAGAGGCCAAAAGTTACAGAGTGTACCTTTAAGGACACTAAAGAGACCTTTCTACGAACTCTGAAAAACACTAGGAGAAAGATGCTGAAGGCTCCCTGATCACCTGTGTGAACATACCTTAATCCTGCAGCAGGAGGCATGAGGACTGCAGACATGAACTGCAATGTCCATAATGTAAGATGCCTAAGACAGGCTTAAAGGGAGACAGGAAGTACATCTTTTTTACCCGTGTGTACTGAGAGACTGGACTGCTCAAAACGTCCGGTTGGGTCTTTCGACTGAAGTCCTCCATATTCTTTATCACACAGAATGTGCAGCTCCACTGGCTTTAGTACAGACAAAACACACAATATTACACAAGTCAACTGTTTATCTTATCTAAACCAGGTAAAGGTTTTTTCTCTCTCTCTCACCCAGGTGAGTCTCCATCTACAGCTGGTAAGTGACAGTGTGAATGAAAAGCTCGTGGACATTCGTCACAACACACCAGATCTCCATCATCAGAGTCACACACGAAACACACGTCATCATTCTGCTGGGACAAGAGTTCATAAAGAAATAAAACATTTCAAGAATTCTGAAAAGTTTGGTGGTCATGCTGATATTCTGACATGGTAATTGTGAGATGATGATGATGATGAAGTCTTACTAGGTAAAGATCTGGTCCTTTACAAATCTCACAATCACAGTTTATCATATGCGGTTCCAAAACTCTTTTCTGGAAAGAATGTGAGAATCGTGAGTGAATTTATTTCAAAGAGATTTAAATGTGAATTCTCTGACATTTTTACCATTATTAGTTTTCCTAGAGGAATCCCATAGGTCACAATGTCTTTCCTCCATGTTCCATCTGGTTTGTTCAATATGGTGAAATCCTCAGGGCTCAGCCAGAAGTCTTTGGTCCTTATGCATCTCCCACAATGCCCTGAGATAACAACATTGAACCATACTCTGTACCATAGTTTAAGAATCTTTTATAGTTAACTTTTATAGTTATGCATCATCATAAAAAAGTATTTAAAATATCTGAATGTCATTGCCATAGACACAAAATATAAAATTAAGTGACACCTGCAATTGAGACAGACTATCTTAGCTCAGTGACTTTTAATAAGCTGGCATTTTGGTGATTTTTAGTGTATATATGAAGAGTTCAGATGCAAAAGCCTCTAAGTGCCATTTGAAATTTTCTTCTAGAATGATCATTTTTATCAAGCTTGTACATTTAAGTTCAGTGATTTCACTTAAATGGCAATGATAATTACCTATTAATTGTTATTTAAGTGAAATTACTGAACTTAAATATACAAGTTTGATAAAAATCATCATTAAAGAAGAAAATTTCAAATGGCATTTAGAGGCTTTTGCATCTGAACTCTTCATATACTCTACCATAGGTGCAGTTAATTAGATTAAGTATGTATGGATATGTTTGACTAAACATGTTTTGACTGAATAATATGTACAAAATAAAGTAATAAAGTATGTTTGTGCTAGATTGCGCTATGACACTTGGTTTGATAATTGTATCCAATGCAACATCAATCAGACATTTTAGGTGTGCTTAAACTTTTTGGAGCCATTGTATTTATAAATGTAAAGCATTTATGACCAACATACAATATCTTAACATTTGTAGTCATTAATGTAAGAAATATGCCCACTCACACACCTGTGGCAAAGCGATATTTGTGTAGGATGCCAGAGCCAGAACCGCAGGTGACAGGTAGGGTTTGACCTTCAAATACGCTCATGTCAAAAACGTCACTGACATCATCGATGTGAACATGCCCATCTTCACTGCCATTGATCCTCCCCTCTGATTCTACAACAAATATACATATATTTGTATATATGTTAAATATGTTGTCAAATATACAAATATATATACACATACAAACACATAGTATATATGGTTTTGTACGGACCAGAGCTGGAGTGGCCCAACTGTTTTCTGCACTGTGAAAAAAAAGAAAAGATGCATGTCAGAGATGTGGAACATGAGGACAGCTGTTAAATTCCCTCATATATATATATATAAAATCAAATCTAACCTTTCTTTTTCTGAACCTGTCAGGTGAGGATTCAGGAGAGTCATTCTGTGAAACAGACAGACATTAAGTGAAAACATATTTAACAACATATGATGTGATCTTTTATATACAATATCTATACACACACACACACACACACGAAAAAGAAAGTACAACCTATTTGACTTCTATGGTTTTTCCTATGGTTAAATTCTTTGTTATAAATACCTGCAACATTTTAGCCATAAATTAATTAGAAATATTAGCTAGATTATGTCACTATGATCACTACCTGTGTCTAGTGATGTATGTTTATGCTGAAATAAAATGTACGATTTGTTTTTTTTCAATACATCTATTTGTGTCATTATGTGTAGTGAGTTGGTTTACACAATTTATGTGGTTCAGAGTAAAAAAAAAAAAAAAAATCAACCTCAGAAAGTCCCTGCTCGTGAGGTAGTACCATAGACTAAAAAAAATAAGGACGTAGTGTCCCCTGGCATCACCTGACGTCTGTTTCTGAAGAGCATTTTTGAAGCCCAAAGTGGGCGTAACTGGCCGACGCCATCTTGATAGCGCATCACTCCCGATTAACCGAAAATGGGCAAAAAAGCGGGATTAGTTGAGGTGACTTTACGGCTAAAAGAGCAGCTCCAATCCACCTGTCACTCAAGTGGCCACGCCCTTAATTATGCAGAAAAGGCTTAATATAATTTAAATGGATGAGCTACAAAAAAAAAAAAATCACCCCCCTCACAGCTGTCATGAAGGGCAACATATATCTATATAGACCAAAACAACTTTTTGCACCAGGCTGTAAACACTTTTTTGTCTCCTGTAAAAAACACTTTTCTCTTGTCTTTTCACTTGTCTTTTTCACTGTCTCTAGTGGCTAGTCGATGAATTGCGAGTCACTTCCATGTTGGTTTCAAGAGGGAGAGACTGGAAGGTTGCCTTGGGTAATACTTTTTCAAAGTTTAGGAACTTTTGGGGTTGGGACTTCGAACATGCGGATGGTTGAGTTCACGCAGCATTTTGATTGGGTGACTCCATGCAGCATTTTATTTCAACCACCATTTTTCAAAGTTGTTTGTTATTCAAATCAACGATGACGAGGTTTAGACTATTAAGATTATAAGAGGAGGACGAAATCCAGCAGAAACTGGAAAGTAACATGCATTCTACGCCATTGGACTTTTTTGCTTAATCTTCACAGTACTTCAGACCGCGATGGAAACGCTGACAGCAATAGGTCTGTGAAAAAAGTTCCTGGGACAAATAGTTGCGGGTAATTTTCGTGGAAACGCAGCTATAGTGAGCATTGATGCTCCTTGGGTTTCATGGTGCAGTGTAGGACTTTTTAGGGAGTGAACGCTTCAGTGAACTGTAAAGATTTTGCGATGAGACGCCTCCACCTAAAAAAAAAGTTCCTGTTTAAATTAAAATAAGCCTGCTCCAGAGCATGTTTGAGCTTACGGACTAGGGCTGCACAATTAATCGCAATTTCCATGTAATCCCACTTAAAACACGATGGCTTAACACGATTTTGGAATTGCAAGGGCTTCAATTATTTTGTATGCACAGGTGTCACTGATGTACGGCTCTGTAAACGCAGCTACATCTGAAAGCACTGTGAGATTGAATTACTTAAACTGTTATAACATGTGTCAAACAGCTTTCCAAACATGAAAAGCATTTAATAACCTCTCGTCCAACAAAAGACAACCTTCAGGATCTAACCTTCATTTTTCTGAGCCTGTCAGTAATTGGAGAGGATCCAGGAGAGTCATTCTGTGCAACAGACATGGACATATAGTGTGAAAATATATACAAGATTTTTCAGAACATATTAGTCATCTGTAACGAAGGCCAGCTAGTAGATGCTGTGCGAGTAAACCTCACTCCCCTGATCTCAATAGGCACTAGCGACAGACGCTAGAGGCTGCAGTCTTTAGCCTCCTTGTTAGAGCGCCTGACTCTCATACCGGAGGCCGGGGTTCAAGGCCCGCTCGGAGCGGGGCAAGTGGGACCCGGGTGGAGGGGTTACACATCAACAACAAATAGTCATTATATCAGGATCTAACCTTCCTTTTTCTGAGCCGGTCAGTAATTGGGGAAGATCCAGGAGAGTCATTCTGTGTGACAGTCATGAGCATATTGTGTGAAAATATATATAAGATTTTTCACAAAATATATTAGTCATCAACAACAATTAGTCATTACATCAGGATCTAACCTTCCTTTTTCTGAGCCGGTCAGTAATTGGGGAAGATCCAGGAGAGTCATTCTGTGTGATAGACATGAACATATAGTGTGAAAATATATATATGATTTTTCACAAAATATATTAGTCATCAACAACAATTAGTCATTACATCAGGATCTAACCTTCCTTTTTCTGAGCCGGTCAGTAATTGGGGAGGATCCAGGAGAGTCAGTCTGTGCGATAGACATGAACATATAGTGTGAAAATACAAGCTATTTCACAACATATACAGTGGGTACGGAAAGTATTCAGACCCCCTTAAAGTTTTTACTCTTTGTTATTTTGCAGCCATTTACTGAAATCATTTAAGTTAGTTTTTTCCCTCATTATTGTACACACAGCATCCCATATTGACAGAAGAAACACAGAATTGTTGAAATTTTTGCACATTTATTAAAAAAGAAAAACTGATTTTAGCAAATGGCTGCAATATATATATATATATAATAGTAAAGTGCAATTTCAGCTGAAGTGAAACATAGGCTACAGTGTCAAACACATAGGCCTGAAATCATGTTTTCATTTATATCATTGAGTAGGCTATTCTATATACACATCTTACATGTCAAATACAAATATTCCAAAGTAGTTAGGTATAAAAACAGCCAAACCTGTTCATTCTGAACCGGAAATTTCTTCCGGTTCAGAAAGGGCGACAGAAGACCATCCTAACAGATAGAAAAGACAAAGATGTGCTCAGCTTCTAATCAACACATATACATTATTAATGTTTCAATTAAACTGACACCCTAACATTTGGATTTAATAATACACCAGTAGCAGTATTAACATTAATTGACATGTTATCTGGCACGTCACTATGTGTATTGGCACATCCGAAATAAATCCCCATGGCCATATTAACAATTACTGAATGCTAATCATAACTGAACTTAAGTGTTCATTGGTGGAAACTGTGAGTAATGAAGCTGTTCTTATGCACCTTAATGAGGTACTGGAGTGGAGTGCCATTGTAAAAGATGCTGTTCCTCCACTTTTTGTTCCTTTTTTTCCCTCCAAATTCCTCAAACTCAGTGGGCATGAGCCACTCGCCTTCACTGAATATGCACGCCTGCACTGAAAACAGAAGTTGATGTACAGTTTATTCTGGATTGCCTTGCAGACTTATGTTTAGAGCATCTGGGTGTGTACTGAACTTTCAGAATAATGTTTGTCTTCAACAAGAGACTACTTCAACTACTTTAAGTGTCTGTACTTACGGTTATCATATTTCTCCACATAAAGGACACCATCTTTATCTCCACATGTGACAGGAAGTTCACGTTTGTTTTCAATTATTTGTCTCAAATTCTGTCTGGAGTCTGAAATAAAGGACAGATGTGAGGCATTAATGAGATTCAGATTGCCCATATAAGAGAGAGCAGTGTTAATTGTGTCTCAAATCTTTTTTAATGATCTCTTTAAAATCTTTACAATCTCTCCTCAGTAAATATATATTTTTTAATGTTATGTATTTTGGAAACCTCAATGGGGTCTTTGGCTTGGCCAAAGAGGATGGTCTTGTTTGCTTACACGTTTGTTTCCTCATCTTTCTTTCCGTCCCTCGTTTGCCTTTCTTTTCTCTGTCGCTCTCACTCAGACTGTGAGAGTCTGTGCTGCTCTCCGGATTCCATTCAGATTCTGATTCAGACTCAGACTCCATGTCTTGACCTGTGGTTCTCAAACACACTAAACATTGATTATACCGTTTTTACATGGAAATCATCATCAAACCATCATATTGTCTGCATTATTTTAATGAATTATCTCCAGGCTGTTCTGTTTGCAGAAGTTACCCAAGTCATATAAGAAATAATTAAGACGTTACAGATAATAATGAAACTAAGATTTAATGAATGTTCAAAATGAGTATTGTCACTGAAACAAAAGTGAAAGTTACTTCACGAAAGTGAAGCAAATGAAAGTTACTTCCAGGACTCATTCCTGTTTTGCAGTTTGAGACAAAGTAAAAAAAAAAAAAAGAGAGAAAACATCAGACCAGAAAATATTCAAAACATTAAATTGGAATTACTACCAATATAGCATTAATGAACTCACCTTGCTGTGTCCACAACTTTCTGTCTGTTTTTCTAGCTCTCTCTCTCTCACACACGCACACACAGATGACATACACTTTTCAAATCACTTTTCTTTTTACATGCTCTACCCAACCACACCTTCCAGCAGCGCTAACCTTATGAGTCACTGAAAGACTATTCAATACAAAAAAAGAAAAAAATTCAATACAAAAGAAATGTGTTTTTGCTCCCCCTCCCCTCTCAAAAGTGACAACTTTAACGTATAATATAAAAATATCTGCGGGGTATTTTGAGCTAAAACTTCAAATACACACTCTGGGGACATCAGAGACTTATTTTACATCTTGTGAAAAGGGCATTGAACCACCCCTTTAAGGTGAAAAACCCCCTATGTCTTTTATTCCTGAATTTGAACTGAGTTAGTATGCAAAATGAATCAATTCAAATTTTAGTAGAACTAAAAGTGAAATAAAAAAAGACTAATGAACTACAAAAGCAATGGTTGCCAAGACAACATTGGCTTAAAGCTTTAAGTTTTGAAAAAGGTTTACAGGCCAGAAATGGAGTGAAAAATAGACAATGACTATGACCTATGTGTTGTCCTCAAGCAGTGACAGAAAATAATGTCAATACAACAAGAATGTGGCATTACAAATGTTGTCATGTAACAAAAACAGTAAATGATTATCAAAAGAGATGTTTATTTTCTTGGCCAATGCACATTAAAAAGATATTGGTGTATTAGTTAATGAAGATTCATATCTAATCACAGCCTCCCAGACCACTCTGCTACTTCATCAGTACTGGCCTGCTTTTGTTTAATTGCAAACCTTAGCCCATCCAATCCCAATCAAGTCCTTTCAACATCTGTGACTTACTCCTGCTTGACTAAGGACTGAATCTGAGGATTTTCTATAACAGCCGGTGTTATACTGATGTATTGTGGCAGTGTGTCATGCTTTTCCACCAGCATCTTTAAAGACAAATCGATTGATTGCAGGGTGTTGTTGATGCTCTTAAACTGTTTTTCCAGAAGTTCATATAATTGCAGCTGCCTTGTTCCCCGAGTCTCTTCTGAAGCAACAGGGTTCTGCCATTCAGCAGGGGAAGCGCTGACGTCGAGCTGTCCCGCTCCGGCTGGGTCACCGGTGGTCTGGACGGCCTCCTCTACGATAGGAGAGAGTCCAGGTTCTGAAGCATCTACAGGATGTGAATCAGGACAAAGAGTGTGGATTAAAAACATTTTACTGTAGTATGATTCATGTAACAATACAAACACAATTCATTGTCAATTCTGCAGTAGAGGCAAAGGCTGCCCTTCAAATTAGGGATATTGTGGGACAGGTACAGCACGGAAGAGGGCTCAGTTTAGCTCCTCCTAAATGGCACAAGGCAAGCCCAGCTCCAAGGAGGAAGCTGGTAGTCAATGAGGTACGAAAGCAGTCTATGCAGTCTTTTCAATAAAAAACATTTGCACAAAGCAAGCCGAACCACTTTTCCATGTTAATAAGAGCATTAAAGGGTTAGTTCACCCAAAAATGAAAATTAAGTCATTAATTACTCACCCCCATGCTGTACCAACCCCGTAAGACCTTCGTTCATCTTCGGAACACAAATAAAGATATTTTTGATTGAATCTGAGAGCTAGATCACTCCTAGATAGACTGCCTAAGGGACTGACACTTGACGGCCCATAAAGTCATTAAAGAAAATGTTTAAATTTTCCATGTGCCTACAGCGGCTCAATTATAAGTTTATCAAGCGACGAGAATACTTTGGGCAAAAAAACAAATAACGACTTTATTCAACTATTCCATTACTTCCTTATGGGCCTTGAGACGAGAATTGAAGAGATTTCCAGAACGCATGCGCTAGAACTGAGACGAGGACGTTCTTCTTCGACTACTTCTTGTTACCGGCTGCTCAGTGCTCACCGCTTAGGAGTATTACCGCCACCTACCGTATAAGATGATGATCCATATATAAGACGCTCCGGATTGTAAGGCGCACAGCACTGTCGTATTTGAAAAGATTAAAGGCTTTTAAGTGCGCCTTATAGTGCGGAAAATACGCTAATTGAAACGCGCATGTACAGCGCGCGTCTTCCTCTGCTTGTAAACAGAAAGTTTTGCGCTTCCAGCTATATCAGCACGTCATCTTATACGGTAGGGGGCGGTAATACTCCTAAGCGGTGAGCAGCCGGTAACAAGAAGTAGTCGAAGAAGAACGTCCTCGTCTCAGTTCTCGCGCATGCGTTCTGGAAATCTCTTCAATTCTCGTCTCAAGGCCCATAAGGAAGTAATGGAATAGTCGAATAAAGTCGTTATTTATTTATTTATTTATTGCACAAAAAGTAGTCTCATCGCTTGATAACCTTATAATTGAGCCACTGTAGGCACATGGAATATTTAAACATTTTTTTAAATGACTTTATGGGCCGTCAAGTGTCAGTCCCTTAGAAAGCCTATGTAGGAGTGATCCAGCTCTCAAATTTAATCAAAAATATCTTCATTTGTGTTCCGAAGATGAACGAAGGTCTTACGGGGTTGGTACAGCATGGGGGTGAGTAATTAATGACTTAATTTTCATTTTTGGGTGAACTAACCCTTTAAAATGAGGGGGGAAAAAATAATGGGACAAAAAAAAAAAAAAAAAAAATCAAGAGACATTTACAATAGATTAAAATCGATTAATCGCCAGTTAACTATGACATCAATGCGATATATATAAAAAGGAAAATTGCAGAGCTCACTAACCCTTATCACTGGCCGTAGATCCAACTGAATCTGTGGTATTTTTACTGAAGGTTTCAGCTGGCACCACAGATTCTCTCCTGTTCTGTTATAATAAGATATAAGTAATCCTTAATGTCTGTTTGTTGATAGAGGATTTTGTTGGGCACAATAACTGGGGTACATTTCAGTCACTGAGGGTTAAGGTGAAGGATAAAGTTAAAGTTAGTTATTTGGGATATATATTACTACCACAGAACTTGAGCTTTTGTTGCTTCTTTTATTGTTATTATATATTATAGTTTGCAGCTTTTATGACATCCCTTCAACAACAAAAATACTATTAATACATATCTCCTAATAATATTTTAGATGATACATCATGCATATGCTGTTTTAGATGAGACATGCATATCTCATTTACAATATAATACGTACAATGTAATACACAATAATATAATAATGTCGTTTATCAATTTATCTGTAAATGGACACCTCACCAGTTTGACTCTTCCGGCAACAGATTCGGATTCATCTGAAGAACTGTCTAATTGTGGTAGAAAACAAGCAAAAGCCATAATCATTTTAGGCTCAGTTAATGCAGATGATCACATAAAAAATATAAATAAAATTTTTAAAAAACACCTCGACAATTGTCTACTTGGCAATCTACACACCTGGCAGCCTGGCTTAAAGGGTTAGTTCACCCAAATTTGAAAATTAGCCAAGGTGTATTATGACATTCTTCTTTCAGACAAACACAATTAGAGTTATATTTTAAAAAAATGTCCTGGCTCTTCCAAGCTTTATAATGGGAGTGAGTAGAGTATATAAATTTATAAACTAGAATCAATGGCTTCTGGTAACAGCCCGTACACAAGTTTGCTTCCACCTAATAAATGAACTCTGACCCGACACCTAATCTGATATAGTCACATTATAGCAATGCTCTCCCATATATTTTGCAACCATAAGTGGGTTTTAAAAGACAAGAAATGTACAGATAATTATTCAAACTCACCCGGCCGGATTGTTTCCCTCTGCAGTGTGTCCTTTTTAATTCCACACACAGGTATTGAAACAGTCTTGGCAAACAATCTTTTCCAGGACTCTGGAAAACCTTTTAAGGCATGCATCAATTCATTTTTCCTCGTCAGATTTTGCACAGAGTTTGCACGCCTTTTATCTTTCTGCGTCACCTATGGTCAAATAAAATGGTAGTGATAATAAAGCATGCCATTCCTCTATGGGTCATCATTTGTTATGAAATCGATAAGGCAAACAAGGTAAAAAAAAATTAATTCACAGATTACAAATCTGTAATGTCAGTTTGAACTACAAAATATGAATATGGTTTGCTTTTGTTCTGCTACAGTATATAATATATATACCCGTCTAAAGGACTTCCTCAGGTGTCCGAACTCTGGAAGAACCCCGCTCTAAGAAAAACAGAAGAGTTTGTTTTAATCAGATGAGGACCGGTAAAATAAGGTTTAAATATGTTCAGAAAATGTAACAAAATTAAAACATCCATCAGTGGCATAACTTTGTTTTAAAAAGCAGGTGGGAAAGGAGTGTGTGTGGGGGTGCTATATCGGACATGTACAGTAACAATTGCAGGAAAAAATAAAGTTATGATGTCCAGAAATCAATTTCTATGGTACATTGAGAACTCATGTTTAATGTGACAGTTTCATTCTTACATCTACTATATGTATAATGCAATTCACTGTTTGTCTCGAGATTATTCACGTTAGTGAATAAATACATAGATCTACAATTAGAATATGGGATTCCCTAATGGTCTGGTAGTAAAACTTTTGTTTGTGTCAGAGGTTCGGAGTTCTAAATCACCCTTGTAGAGTTTTTCACCCTCATTAAAAGCGAAAATGTTCATCAATGACTGTATATCAAGACCAAGGACCAGTTTGTGTGCAGTAACACTGCCTACAAACACTCAGCATGATTTCAAAAACAACACCAGATCGTCTCTTATTTAACACGTTTGAACGTCAACTGGATAGGTTTCCTTTGCATTAGGTATATCCATGTAGCGAGATTAAAAAAAAGTGGCGGGGGTGGGGACATGTCCCACCCGTAAATTACTCCTATGCCAGCCAAACATTCAGACTGCATACATACATACCTTTATGAGTTTCAGTAGTTGCACTTGTTGAAAGCCTTTTGATGGCCTGTAATAGATATTAAACCTCCACCTCTTGTGACTCCCCTTGCCTCCAATCACCTCAAACTCACGGGGACTATACCACTTCCCTTTACATGAAATACACTTCTCTCCTTAAGACAGAGAAACATGATACAGAACATAGAAATGGGTGTAGATAGGATGTACATGCGGAAAAGGACTGTAAAACAAAGTGCTACTGAAATAATACATGTAGGTTTGTTAAAATATTTGAAAATCACAATACACTAGTGCTCAGGTACATATTTAAAAAAATATGTATGGTCTATTCACTTTTAACAGACAAAAGTTTGTTTTGACATCAACTTTTAAAAACTAAACATGCAATTTAATTTTCTCACACCATGTAAAAAACAAACCTACACAAAACTTACCAGTGTCATACTTTACTCTGTGAAGAGAACCTGACATATTTCCACAACGAACAACTAGTTGTTTCTTATCTCTGACCTCTTGAAAAACATCTGTGTTTTGAGCAAAGATGTTTGAGTATCTTTTCATTCTCTCATCTTTACGGAAGTCTGTTTCTGAGCAGTTTTCCTTCAATTCACATTCTGGCTTCTGCCTTGTAACTGACGCAACATTCATCTTCGTCAGGTCTATGAGAGGCAAATGTTATGTCATATTTAGTTTACTTGACTGGAACTGCAAATTAACTTCATTTGTTTATATTCAAAGTTGGCAATATGTATTCTAGATATCATTGGTTTTTAGCTTACCTGGAAGTCTGGATGTGTTAGTTCTCGCTCTTATCTTCTTGTTACCATTTTTTTGATTCATCTTTCTTTTTTCCCCTTGTCTTCCTTTACTTTTTTCCATCTCGCTCAGCCAGTGAGATTCTGAAGGGCTGCCCCGATCCATGTGGGTCTCTAAAACATAGCCATCATTTAGTTGTGGAAATTCACAATTGGTTGTAAAATGTTAGGGGCTGTTGCCACTCTCTCTTATTGATGTCTTTGATTTGGAAATTAGCTGATGATCAATAAAATGCAGTTCATATCTGTTGCTTTTGGTGGCGTGCAATCCATTAAATCTGCATATAACGCGGGAGTTGAAGATCGGATTTATATCCGTTTTGCAAAAACACATTTATGTGGCCAGGTGTAAATGGAATCGGTACTTATTATCCGGATAACTTATCTGGATACAGATCGCATGTTAATACCAGGTGTAAATGGGGGTCCAAGTGTCTGGTCACACTAGCTTGGAAGTTCTCTCGCGCGTTTAAAAAAAAAAAAAAACAGTAGAACAACTTTTAACCTTAGCAGCGCGATTTCAGAACACATGAGCGAGACGCTGCAAAATACGACAACGTCTCGCCAAGCTCTAGCACGTGGATGTGGAAACAACGACGGAAAAGCAGCGCCTAGGAATGACAAAAAAAGTTCTGTGTGAACGACCACTTTCAAACAGAACCGAAACTTGCACATTCAGTGGACTGTTTGTTTTAGGAAAGGCTACAATAAAATATTCACTTACAAGTAGATAAGTTAATATTTATGCTCTCTGTGCGTCTTAACATTCTGATTGCAAAAACAGCAAAAGATACAAACAATACTATTAAGTAGAAGAAATCAGCTATCATTTTTTAACCATTAAACAGGATAACATTATTGTCAAATTGCAACTTGGAAAACGGGTTACGCTTGTCAACAAATTCGAATAGTACTCGTCATTAATAACAACTGTAGCATTACCTTGTTATTTACCTGAAACTCCTCAGCTGCGGGGTAACAAATTCAATACTCTGAGTGATGCACGAGGGGGGATCTAGGCTGGGGAATGAAGCACGGAAGGGGGCGTGTATGGTATGACTGAAGATGCAGGCGCGCCCCCCAAAAAACTTTATTGAACAATATAAATGCACAATCACACCCATCTTTAACATTTTATTTCGAACTTCTGTTTTTAGATTTTAGTTAGTGAAGTGGATTTACTTATAGTAGAGTTAACGAAAGTTATCATTAGAATTGTAATTTTTGAATCGGATGTCATAACAAAAGTCAGTTCATAAATCCGTATCTTACCTTCATTCTGTGAAAAACGAGTGCAGCGCTGTAAAGGCAGGCAGGGTCATAGACTGCAAATATACAAATAATTATATTATATACAAATGGTATATTATTTGAAAATTAAAACAATCAAAATAAAGTATACTACTGAATATTGAACACTAAAAATATTAATATGTTATTTGTTTACCTGCATGTCAATGTGGCCATCGACATGCAAATGTTTTATTATTGAAAAATGAACTTTAAATCGCAGGGGTCTCCAAGTAAATATTTTAGGCTTAATTTGTCTGACTGAATTTCTCTATTAAACAATAGTAAACATGAAAACAGCAATGATGAATTACACAGTTTTGCAGGTTTCAATATTTTTGTCCTGACTTTTGTTTAGATCCATAATTAAGCGTCACTGAATATGAAGACAGTGTTTCACAACAATATATCAGCACAGCAGTGTTTAGTAACTTGTATAATTATTCATCTCATGCATGATGCATGGTAGTGAGAGGTGCTTTTGTCCCCACATTTAGAACACTATTATTTACATGGCCATTCTATATTCTTTGAATATAGTCAAAGCTAAATGGTATGACACCCAAAAAGATCTCTTCTTTGTTTTGTTTTTTTAAGATGTTGGCTTGAGATGTCGGTCGCATTGTACGCAGATGCAGCATATATCAAAACCAATAAATTATGAATAATTTACCGCCCTTGTGTGAATAATTTTATGTAATGGTGTTGTCCATAAAAAGTAACTGTAATCTGATTCTGTGGACAGTATTTGATCTTTATTTTATGTGGTGTTTTATTAATTACTGTATGTTCTGTTTCGGTGAATCTTAGGCTACCCTAACACTAAAAAAAAAAAAAAAAAAAAAATTATAATTAATTCATGACAACATTTTTACATTAACTCAATTAAAGTAAGAATTTAAGACTTTTTAAAATAAAGATAGTTTATTTATAAAAACAAATGGTAAAATAATAAAATTACACATAATGCTGAAATATACTGTGCAAAAAGCATGTTAGGCACTTAAAAGGTAAGGAATGTTTTCCAACTGATGCAAATGTACCACAAATTAATACACTGAGAAATAGTTTCTTAATATGGAAAGTGGATTGTATCATGTGTAAGCATGAGGTATACATTTTAAACATAAGGAACATGTTTTGCTACCTTTACAAGGAAGTTGTAAGTTCCAGAGTGGTGTGTATAGCTCAATCCTTACTGTACCAGGGGGTGAGAGGAAGGAGAAACATAGAGATGAGGGGTTGAGGGAGGAGAAACCCAGAGAAACCATTTACAGCTGGCATAAAGGGGTGAGGGGATAGAGAAATGGGGACAGGGAAATCTGGAATAAAGACCTCCTCACCTTCTGACTGTTTTTCTGATACATGTATAAAAATAAGAAAATATGAGATCTCTTGGCAAAGTAACTGGTGTAGCCTCCGTGATTGAACAATAATGGGAAAAAGCATGAGTTTCAAATCTATATAATTATCACGGACTCGATGATGGTGAGATCAGATTTTAACGGCTGTTGTCAGACTCTTTGTGCATACAAAAATCTCACTGAATTATTACAATTAATGGAAAAGAAGAAATGTTTCGAAATGTAAGCTGATATTTCCTATTGACAAACTACAGCAAAAGTCTTAAAACCAGAAAAAAAGTCTTAAAAAAAGTCTTTTAGGAGTGAAAACACTACTGTGCACCAAAGATTTTTGCATAGTACTGTATATAAAATTGTAACCTGCTGATCGTTATTTTTGCAATTACAGTATTGGAACACTTCACCTAAGGTACAGTACATGGACGCTGACTGTGAATAGTGTCTGTACATATAAGGAGGAAGAGAAAAAGAGGATAGTAGCAGATATTCTGTACAGACATAATCAAATTGCCATTCATAACCCATGAAGAAAAAAAAGATGTGCATTATTGCATTATTGGGGGCTGTTATTGGATATTGAAGATCTTCTTAAACTCCTTCTCAAACATTTCACTCAGCCTGGCGCCCATTTGCCCAAACTGATTGTCCTTAAGAGAGCAAAAGAGAACAAAATACAAAACAAATGTCAAAACAGTGAAAAACAAAACACACACACACACACACACACACACACACACACAAAAAAAAAAAACAAGTGTCCTCTCTTTTTTGATTAATTATCATGTTAATCACAAAAATCATCAATCATGACCAAGATATACATCTGTATGATTTTGATCTATTGTTTTTACTTTTTTTTAAATTTTTTGTTTTTGTTTGGCGCTTTATAAATTATGTCGTAATTATTTCAGTGTTTCAGGTAATCTCACCCTATTAAATGTGCTGCAATTCCTGAAAAGGAGCTGAAAGTCCGAGACGAACGCCCCAACCTTCTGATACTTATCACTTTCCAGATCTTGCTTTATTTTGTCTAGCCACATTGGCTGAGATATGAACTGAGAGTATTTGGACACCTGGAAGTTCAAAAACAATTCTGGTTAATCTTTTTTAGTTATTTATTTTTCTTAATGTAAAGTTTACCATTTCTAAATACATTAAATTTCTAAATACATTTCTAAATACATTAAATTCTAAATACATTAAATTAATTAAAAGGCATGAGAAATATATATATATATATATATATATATATATATATATTATTATTTATAGTGGTTTGTAAAAGAGCGCAAGTTGAAATAAGGAGACATCTTACTGTTTGATATGGATTTTTTACAAACACCTTCTGGGTGTCCTCCTTGTACATATGTAACAAGAGATAGTGGCAGTGCTAAAGAAGACAAACAACACACACACACACACACACACACACACACACACACACAACATTCGGCCCATCAATTATTCTGTTTCTAAACGTAGAGAGCAGCCTATGTAGTCATCTTAAATTTTTGTGGTTATCCTTTATATTAAAGTGACAAGTTTGTGTGTGTGTGTGTGTGTGTGTGTGTGTGTTTACCAATCTGAATTGCGACACAGGGGCGTTTAAAGCTTCTTGTTTAGTCATGCCACTAGAGTCACGCCATTGCTGACTGGTTGTAAACACGCAAAAGGTACAAATCCATTCCCTACAAGCAAACACACACATATATACAGAAGGATGAATGTACAACACACATACTTGTGTGATTTAATGATTTTGTTTGTTGTTTTTCTGTGTCTTACCCAGGTGAGTCTCCATCTACAGCCGGTAGGTGACAGTGTGAATGAAAAGCTCGTGGACATTCGTCACAACACACCAGATCTCCCCCAGAGTGACATGTGTAACACTCATCATCATTTTTCTGTGCCATCTAGTCACAGGACAACACAACATGATACAACATGTTATCATTATCACGGAAATAAGCTCAAAGGCATTTTGCTCCAATGCAATTTGCTGATGTCTCTTTTTTTATCCCAAAAGTTAAAGGAAAAAAGAAATTTAATTTTGGATAGAGAAAACTAAGCTAATGTTAGTTTATTTGTTTGTTTGAGGGTGGGGTGGTTCAGTAATTCTCAATAGGGTTTAGATTCTCATACTGTAATACAGTGTTTTTTCTACTGCATTCAAGTTTTTGTAACCAGCAATCAAAGTGCTAAAAATATTACCATAATCCATAAATACTTACATGAATAATAGATTATAATAGAAATAATAGAGATTTCTTCAATTTCACAGTAACAAGAATGGCTTATCAAGGGAATGGGGGGATTTGCTAAATAGCCATGAAACTAACATCACAATGCAAAAAAAGGGTAAGTAAGGGTAATAGAAATAAGTGTCACTATCTTTAAGCAGAAAATTAATGAAATAATTTATGTTGACTTTTCATAAGATTCACGCTATCTTTAGTTTATGAAAGGGATTTTAATTACTGCCTTGTGTGGTTAATGCATAAATTTAACATGCTATTAAGAATTCGAGTGAATGTCATTAATTATTTTTATCCTGACTGATTATGAATGACAGACATGTCAGCTGGAGATGTTTCTTACTGGGTCTTCTGGTCTGCATTTCACACATTCGCACAGAAGAGAATGGATGCGCAGGATGTCTTTCTGAAAATGACATTAATAAATAAAAATACATAAATAAATAATCATGTTTTTTCTCTTTTGTATCATGTTCTATCCAGTTTGATACCTTGAGTAAAAAGTTGAGAGTTTTTCCATGGCACAGTATATTTTTTTTCCAGTGTCCATCAGTGAGAGTCGGTTCCTCCTTTACAAATTCCTCCGGAGTGAACCAGCTTTCCTCAGTCCGTATACACTTCCCTCGACTCCCTGCAACATAAAGTAAACAAACACTTTCCACTCAAACATTCGATACAGACAAAACAACCTGCATTTTGAGTTCTGCAGCAGTACACACTTCAGTGCAGCAACCCGTACCTGATGCAAACCGGACTTTGTATAGAGTCCCAGTAAGTAAACCGCGGGTGACTGGTAAACAGGGAGCTTGGAAAACAGACAGATCTGTCATCTCTTCTTCCTCCTCCTCCTCCTCGTCCTCAACCCTCCTTCTAAACTCTGTTCCTTCTCCCCTCTCTCTCTGTTCCTGGAAATCTTCATCATCGCTTTCCTCAACCGAAATGACGCTGGTTTCTGAGTGTTGAGGAATAAAACACACGGCTACATTCAGACAGACAGCAGAGGTTGTGTGTGAATGAGCGTGAACGATCGGTGCTCACCTGTGCTGGAGCTCTCGGCTGAGCTCTCAGAAGACGGCTCTCTCATGTTCTGCAGGAGGGAACACAGTCAACTTAATGAATTTCAAAAGAGAAACA